CTGTTATTATTACTCAACTGCTATTTACCAATAACAGATCATTTTCTCATTACTCAGAACGCTTTTGCGTAGTTTTTGAGTAATAGATATATATATTTGTATATTTGTGCAGCTGTTTTTGCACACACTGTCTTTATTCTAAGTCATATAAGATTTTTCTTATTGATTTGAAAATAATTGCACTTCGGTTTGAGCTGCATTACTCCGTTTGATAACATAAAAAATCAAATGTTGATACACTTACTCGCCTTTACTCTAATAACAGTACTAGTGTTAAAATTTAAAGTGAATATACCAGCAGCAATATACCACTTTGTTCATCAATGATGAAGATTTGAGTTAACTGTGAGATCTCACATATTCTGGCTCGTCTCAGTCAACAAAGTCAAGAAAAGGCGGCCGATTTCTGTCCATTGTTTTCTTGCTTTAGCTTTAATGCGGTCCTATAGAGAAAACTATTTTACAACTTTTCTACATCAACCAGAGCCGTTGGAACCTTACAGAAAATTGATTAAATTAATCTTCCTGAGCTGATGTGTACGGGCGCCAGTGCTTACTAATACCGAATCTCCTAGATATAGATTGGAATTAGCGTAACGTTTCATATAGGAAAAGAGCTCATGAAAGAATCAACAAAATGATGTATGAATAGGGCAACAAATGCTGAAAGCGACATTGCTTATTTCCAAGCATTTGGTATTCCTTGATAGGGTATAAGTGATCTTTTTAGCCACTTTTCGCCCGTAAACAAGCGAGGATGCAACCTGTCTCTGATGTAGAAAGATAACTCTTTACAACGCCCTTAGTGAATCAAAACTGCATATCATTCGCTGGATCGTTCCATCAGCTACAAGCGCAGTCGCTGATTAAAGCTTTGTGTCAAGAATAGAACATGTGTAGGCATATATTGGCACACGTTTGACTACTAGGATCTTCATTAATCAGTGAGCAGAAGAAGATAACTTGTGGTGACCTTAGTTTCGCTTTAAGATGGGATACAAAAAAGCCCATTAGTAGCGGCATTTCATGTTTTATAAAGGAACAGTACAACTTGGTTAATCCATATTTTTGTCGTCTTGTTCTTTTAGAATTTTTGGGCCATTGGCTGAGGTTGAATAGTTAGTTTGTCTAGGTAGAAAGATAGAGAACTTTGCGCTCTATCGATCTCACTCATTTACAACTTCATGGAATGTTTTCACTACGTTAGCTGTCTCATAATTAGTTCTCAACCAGTTTTTCAGTTTTTTCTGATTAAATTAATTTTTTTAACGAATGGTTTCGATTGAGAAACTTTGTTTATATATCAAAAGATGAAGAATTTGATTCTATATAAGATAATGAGGCTAAAACTCTGGATTCAGAACGTTTTACTGCTTTTATAGCCAAAAAGCTAAAGTGTGTGAGAAATAGGTTCAAAAGTTAAGTTTTTTTAAACGTATCAGCTTTTTGCACAGAGAAATTTTCCTAGAAGATTTAACTGCAAAATTTTGAAGAATATATGAGAAGATGCAGAATTTTTCGATGAATCTTCGGATGTTTTCAAAATTCTTGTGGAATCTGTATCTGGATCAAGTCAAATATTTTTCTATTTTCAGTGTGTCGCAGTTCGACAACTCAACAGCCTTCAATATTTTGAATGGCGCTGAAACAAGAAAAATTCTATCAGAGATTCAAATATCGGGTTTTGTAGAGAATTCAGTTCTCTGGAGCCTAGAACCAACTCTTCAGACCACTCCAAAGTGTTTGAAATACAAAGAATAAAAGTGTCTATTTTATTCTGGCCCACCCGTTAATAATGCCCCGTCGAATCCACCATTTTCAAGTGTACAATGCACTTGTTGTTGACCATCACTTGTCGTAGAAACTGTAAGGAAACAAGTTGGCGTTTGTTCAACAAAGAAGTTGCTTTGATGAGGAAGAGCCAAGTTTGCTCGCTATACATAGGTTTAACGATTAAAGAAGTTGAAGAAAGAAAACCACGCATCGCAATCATATCATATAGGAATTGCCGCTCATACATGATCAAAGAAGGTTTTTGCTAGTTCTTAATTTGTTACCATTTAAAACATCGGACTATAAACACTTCTATGTCTTGACTCAACAAGGAATACATCATTCGAATTATTTTATAAATGTAGCATTTCAACTTGTGTTTTGTCTCCATTTCGTAGTACGTCAAGTGCATTCTCATGAATGATTACCTGTTTCATTATGAGAAAACTACTGATTCCATGCACTATATCCCGGTTACTGTCGAAGTAATAGGTTCCACAATAGAGGTTCCAGAATACACCGGATTCCTACTTTTAACTTTAATTTTATTTATATTCATAAAAACGTGAGGAAGTATATTCCAATCGCGATATATATCCCAACTGGGGTATAAAAATGTATCGCCATCGGGATTAGGTATGCACCAATTAATAACCGATGTTAGGGCATTCAGCAAAGTCGTTCCGCATCAGTTATAAAAAAGCACTTGGAGCTGCCGAAGATTTCATTTTGTAGAAAAATATTTGCTCTACCAAACTTCAGTGCAGGAAGAAATTTCAGTGTTATCTGTGACAGAAATATATAAGCATCGAAAACTGAGCAGAATTGCGAAAAAATTATCGACTAACGAGTACTTTTCTGCGATTTTAGTGCGTTTTCGATTTATTATATTGTCTCTACATACAATCTTAAAAGTTTTCTAGCACTTCAGTTTAGTAGAGCAAGCATTTTTCTACAAAATGGAATCTTGGAAAATTGATGCGGAACGACTTTGCTGAATGCTCTAACATCGATTATTAATCGGTGCACGCCTGATTTGGTTATATCTTGATTCAAAACGGGATATAGAGCATGCGTCTGTAATGTAGACGTAGACTGAACTCAAGCGACCCAATATCCAATAATATTGTGAAAACCCAATGTATTGGGTGACCAATATTATTGGGACCCAATATATTGTATTTGTTCATGCCTAATCCGTTGTCGTTGTGTTAAAGATATCTTAAAAATCTTTTTGTCTTCTTATTTCGCGCTGAAATCCAATAAATTCACAACACTCTTTCTCTTGACAATGTTCATACAATTTATCTACGAGTCACCTTGGTTGTGATGATAGTTATGTATATTTATACCAGACAAGGCTAAGAAACGTTTAATCTATAGCGTTCAGTCTCCTACCTAGTTTGTTAATATGTGCTTGATGATAATGCCTTCTGTCCTTACGTACGTGCCATAGTGTGGAATTTATATGAGTATGTATGAACTATTAGTTTATTCCGCGATTGTATCAGATGCGGACCTGTCATTATAATGCATGGCTACTATATCATTGATAGCTCAAATTTTAGTGAAAATTGATTCCGCTTAGAGCAACAATATATACGGATAGTTTATACACCAATTTTGTATAATTTAATACCTTTAGTCAAGAAAATAATAAAATCTTATCTATTTCCTTAACTCATAATTGGAATATTCCATCACATCATGTAGACCTTGTTTCATAAGCATCTCCCGATAACGGTATGAGCATCATTCTGTTGTCCTTTTTGCCTCTGTTCAGCCTGAAAGTTCTGAGCACGTCGATTGTAATGCTTGTAATAAACGTGTTGCCATTTATTATTACCATGACTTATACACATAATCATATGTTGTAGCATTCATTGTTAAAACACTGATGTTGCTATATCATCCTTTTCAAGATTTTTATTTTTATTGGATCATATGGCTGCTTTTTATGACACTTTCATTCGTCATGCTGCACTTATTCTTTCAAATTTACTTTGGTCAACATCGATATATTTTAATTTTTGTAATACGCCGGGTCATACCGTGTGAATTTCTTTTTTAAAGCGCTCTACGTCAAGTCTATTTATCTTTTAGTGTTGGCTCCCAAAAACGTGCCTGACTCTGTACAAGATGAAAATGCAAGTAGCATTAACATAAATATAGAAGTTAGTGATTCCTACCATGATGACGACAGTGGTGCGAACAATAGTAGATAAATCGGGTTTCTAAATATAGAAGTTAGTGATTCCTACCATGATGACGACAGTGGTGCGAACAATAGTAGATAAATCGGGTTTCTTCAAACTATCTATTGTCTGAATTGTGGTTCATTGTTTATAGATATTGATGACGCAAAGAATGTTAGTGAAGAAGAAGAAATAAGTAATACTAAAAATTGTCTTAAGTGGTGAACAGCAGTACAAGCGGCGAACTCAAACTTCGCCGAAATAGCGAACTTGTCATACGATGCCAAAACAGCAAACGACGCTTATAATTGTAAGAATATCGTATTGCTATCTAATATCCTGTTCGCATGGATTTCTCACCGCTTAAAACTCAACATCTTCTCTTTCAGGTAGCAATTCATTCATACAGTAAAAAGTTGACTCTACTTATTGTCATACAGATAACAAACCTGTTTTGATTGATATATTAAAGTTTAATTAACTCGTACCATGATTTTTTTATTTTCAAAGATGTCTACTGTAATATTCGTTCTTATCTTAATTTCAACTTTTCGACTCACTATTTCGCAACTATGTTCCAGACGAAATGAATGTACACAAGATGATATTAGTCAATCTACTTCAATATTTAACGATCCATAATATTTTCAAAGTAGAAATTGTTTTTGAGATAATTTATGTTCGACATACGATGATTGTTATGAGAATATTAAAACATCAAATTCTTCTATAAAGGTATCCAATTATGAATGTATTTATTTTCTCTCTCATAATTCTAATATGGATTCAAACAATCCCACAATTTCGGTTTGGATGAATGTTAGCTGTTTACCAAATTATTTTGGTACAAAAGCTGATAAATAATGTCAAAGTTATCGAACAAAAACACTGCCCGATGATCCAACACTGTTCATACCTGTTACTAGTACTCAGACAAATGTCATTTATCGTAATTATTTTTGTGCCTATTGCAACAACGATATTCAATCACTTGTCTCATGGTCATACAAATCATTGTGTGATGCAACTCTAATGAATGTCAATGAATTTACGGTTAATACAACAGAGATCTTTTTAAATTTGACGAAAAATTGTATGAAAGTGATTCACTATCCAATATTCGATGATGGTAATTTAATTCCATCAGTGCCCATTCGACCATGTAAACAATTTATTCAAAATACTGGTCCAAATAATTCATCTCTTGCATTCAAATGTAATTTAATAAATGCGTATCGTTATTTGAATATAACACAGTCAAATCAAAGCATCATATATCGAAATGAATATTGTCTTCTTTGTCAACAAAATCGAATATTTATTAACAATAATACTGATACATGTCATGGTCCTTATTATCACTTAGCTGTTATCCCATTGCATTTAGTCCGTTATCAACCACTCTCCATTCTGTTTCATTCAGATTTCTTGAGCAAACGGATGCAATATTCTACCGAATATCCATGTACTGACAAAAATAAAATGTACGGTATATTTGTGCATGATTATTCGACAATGTCGAATATTCATCAAGATACTATTAATGCTATGAAATGTCAAACACCTATTCGAATTCTAAAAAATTCTGTTAAAATATTGAATAATGCGTTTTATTTAATGTGCGAGTTAATTCTAAATTCTAGCAATTCTAGCAATATTCTAAATTCTGCAATACAATGGCGGATGGATAGTTAGATCACAGACAAAAGAGGGATCATCTATAATTACTAAATCTAAACATGTATTTGATATATCTCTAGTTATCCCACGTACTAGCTGATACATTGTTACAGGAATACCGTCCTTAGTGGAGAAGATGTGATTATTAGACCACAATTTGTTATGCGCATTAAAATCTCCTACTAATAAAATTCTGTCACTTTTAAACTTTGATGTATTATTTTCATCCAGAATTCTACGTAGTTCCTCTTTAATCGTTTTATAGGAGTTGGTTTTGGTCGATAAACATACGAGATCAAAACACTCAATTTGTTTGAAAGAGTTAAACGTACAATGAGTATTTCAAACCGAGGACTTTCAAATTCATTCAATCTAACTACGTAAAAGTCATTTCTCACATAAATTGCGCAACCACCACCTTGTCTAAAACTACCGGCGAACTCAAAGATCGATAAGCATTAACTGCCTCTTTCTGCGAAGTTAAACTCCGAATGTTCATTGACGCTAAAGTTATGCTAGTAGGCACATTGATATTAGTACTCACGGTGGAAAGAAAATACACGCCACTTCACTACCGCCTAGCCAAGTCATCTTGACGTTCGACATAAGAACAGAATAATAAAAAACGTGATGAGAAAAAGAAGGAAGAAAAGAGTAACTAAAAAAGATAACTACCTTGGAGGTCATCGAGGTCATGTAACTGTCACAATTAAATTATTTAACGCATTATCAATTTCCAACGTTGAATACAATTGTTCATATTTGTCTTTATTCACATAAAGAAAAACATTACCGTTTCTTGTAAAAATGTGTTTTTTATCTAAATGTTTTCGTGCATGAACGAATATTTGGTTATTATAATAGGTCAAATGTTCATTGATAAACACGTTCTTGAACTCATCATGGTCACGGCAACGTTTCCGAGACGAATAAAAAGCGTTACGATCAGTACGTCTCAGAAAACTAACAATAATTGATTATTTCGTCTTGTCCACTGAATTTTTTGTAGGTGGTAAACGATGAATTGCGTTAAAATCATTTTCCTTTAGTGTTAAACCTAATGTATTATCTAATTTTAAGACGATATCAGTGACATTTTTATCTTTCGTATATGAAATTCCATAAATAAGAAGATCACGTCGCTTTTCATATTGCTCCAGTTGATTTAAATCATTTCGTACCAGCCTTAATTCATCTTTCATATCTTTTAACGTGTTAGTCGATTGTTTAATGAGTTCATCTTGTCGTTAACATGCTTTATTTACTATTGTTTCAATCGATTGCATGAATACATCAGATGTTAATAAGGATGTGAAAGTATTTTTGATTAACTGAGTTAAATTAATGTTGTCCACTGCTGTATCCATTGTCGTTTTCAACGATTTGGACTTTTTTAATAAAGACGAACTTATAGGCGATGGCGGACTATGACGAATAATATGTTGCATGGTCTAACTATCTGACAGTATAAGGAAACCTTACAGAATATGACTTGTCACCATGAAAGAAAAATGAATTATTATTATTTATTATTTATAGTTATTTAAGAATGACATTTTTAAAATTGTGTGCTCCGAATGTTTTTTTTTGCGTTATTTCTGATTTTTTATGATTTTAGTATTCAGAATCATTCATTTATTGGTTTAACATAAAGTAGAAAAAAAAATAGTCTTGTAACTTTGTAACTGGTGGTATGATGAGTCGAATGAGATAAAATATTTGGCTCCATCACGTATGCAGAAAAACTAGATAGGGTTACAAAACCGACCTATACGCGTCTCGTTCGACGCGATTCGAAGCGCCACCAACAATAGAGTTTTGAGTCTAGAGTCGATTTAATGACTTGCCTGCACTCAGTTTTTGATGCTGAATCTGAAAAATTATTTTCAGAAGCCGAAAAAATGAACAAAGTAGAAAATTTTGCACATTTCGAAAAAGATGTGTTTCTCTCGAAAAATGACATCTTCGCAGTATTTCGTATTTTTCGACTGGAAGGAAGTATTTGCTAAGGCTAAAAAGTAGTTTTTCGTGATCAGGAGCTCACACTCTATCAAATGGTGTAAGAAAAAGCAAAAA